AATTTTGATCCTGAACAATTACATTTCGATGATAAAAATATCATTTGATGGAAATATGCTGATAAATACGCCTTTCAAATACTAAGAGCTCTGTTCATAAATAATACGCGATGCGCATTAATTTGCTGAAAATATGTACTATTTTGAGCTTGTACTTGCCAGAATAACATATTATTACTCTTGTTCAATTTTTAAACCAACCTTCCATTTGCATTACATGAACAAATAAAAACACTAAACTGAGCAACGACGTCAATCGATTTTTCTTCTATTCCCCATTTCAGTTAAAAGTGTCTGCTGATAGTTGAAAAAGTGTTTCAGTTACTACATTTTCCACTTGAAGCACAGCAAAAAGCTAAAGCTAAAAACTAACTAATCAGTTTTTCATTTTTCATGACATTTGTTTACTTTGAACTCGTTATGTTATTAGTTTATTATTATTATATGTTTGTTAGATTTTAGTAGAATTTTTTTAAACTTAAGTCCACAATGGACGTTATTTTAAAGTGAAAATTGTGATTAAATAGGTATATTTTAAGTTTTTGTATTCTCGAAAGTACCACTTACGCAGTGAATGAAGGCAGTTTTATTAATGTAGAAGTTGTTAAAAACATACGAAAAAATGTTTAAAAGAGTGAATCAAGCAATCTGTTTTTAATGTCCGTTAGTAGATAGATTTTCTAGTGTTATATATACATACATACATACATATACGGCTCCTATGTTGGGTTTTTTGAAATTGTGCATCATTAGTGACAGTGGAGAAATTGAGAGAAAAACTTCAATTCGAGAGAGCACACAGGGCTTGATAGCTGTTTTGGCAAAACCTATATTGTTTCTAACTAGCTTAATTTCTAACAAGTTTTTGATAATCATTTTTAAATATTTTTCTTAGTATCGCTAAGTTAGCTAATATTACCCCCACTTTGCTGCACCTTGCTTGGTAAGTATTTTATAGTTTAATTTGTATTTATTAAGTAGCTCATAAAGGCACTTTAAGTGATAACAGATTTTTCTGGTAAGTAGCTTGTGTTATGTATGTAGATACTATTTTAAATAATAACATCGTCACGCGTGACGGAGGCAAATATTCCAAGTTATACTCTAAGTAGCCCTAATACGATAGACATTATTATTTGATTCATTGATTGATTTATTGAGCTACTATCAGGTCTAGCTGCTCAACGGAATTAGAAATCAAACAACTTTTTGGGAAATCGCGGAGAAATATTTCGAATCAGAATAGCGCTGTACATATAACTTTATACGTGATGTAAAGTTGCTGTGTCCCAATAACTAGTGATAGTGTTACTGCGTACGGTCCAGATAAGTAAGAATGAGGAAATATCCGGCGTGTTTGAGTGTGCATTTGTGATCCCGTTAAATATCACTTCATCCAAAGCCAAAACCCTAGACGTTCTTTATATTCCTTCAATATAGCGCATATATGATGATGTAGACATAGTGTTACAAGCAATGTGAGAAAAATGGATCTACATTGATTTTTTCTAATGGCGGAAAACCTAATTGTCGAATGCCGAAAAATCAGATGTGAATAACGCTGGTTTCGCATTCTGAGTTATCTCAGGGTAGGGTCGGTCTCCCTGCATTTATTGTTACAGGGTGCTCCAAGAGAATTTGCTTTCAAAGTGTTCACATTTCCAGCAAATAAATCCCATTAAATTTTAACGCATATTTTATAAGAAATGGTGTGGAAAGTGTTTTATTGGAGGTACCATATTTGTTCTTTTGAGTCTTTCTACACCATCATGTGTCTAAATTTGTTGCTATAACGGTTCATAAAAATTGCACAGGATTAATTAAATAACACATGCTATCAGGATATTTTTGTGGCTATATACAATGGGCTTTATTATGTCACTGAAGCTTGTGCAGTGAAATACCATTTAGAAACATTAATAAGTAGAGCGATTTTTAATTCTTGTTTTGAACGTTGCTTATTCAAGTTAAAAAAAATGCCGATTTTACGAACCATTTCAATATGGGAAGTTACTGATGCTTGTGCTATTCAATTTTAGATTTTTTCTATTCAGAAATATAACGCGGTTTTACAAATAAATAATTTGCAGTCGAATGTTTTTGATATTCTTCAGATAAAATACCTCGACGTGCCTTGGGATTTTATCGCTAAATTATTTAGTCGCACTATTTTCTATGCAGGATTTTGCAGAAAATCACTTATGCACATTTTACCCGACAAAATTTGAAAGTTTTGGTATATAATCTAGGATTATGGTTAAACATGTTCCGAAATGAAAATAAAGAGATTCAAAATTCCCAGTTCCGCAAAATTAACAAGTGAGAAAATTTTTCTGTAAATACACGTTTTCCGTTAATGAGCTCACCTTCTTAAATCTTAAAAGTTTTAGCTAACCTTAACAATATTAATAAACTTTAAATTTATTATTAATTTTAGAAAGTCTTCTAAGTTATATATCTTCAGAAAAATAATAATGAAGTTTTTTAAAGGCAGTTACGTTTTTAAGACAATAATGAACACTTTCGTCGCACTTTTAGTATTTTTAATATTTATTGAAACATTTATTTGTTTAATACAAGTTAATAACAACTAATTTGGCTGTAACTAATACCATTTTTTAAATTTATTTGTCACTGTTTCGCACTCACTTCACATTTCCTTTTGCAAGACGAGTCTTAGGAGTTCTAAACTAATTTGTTGCATACAAGTCTGCAACCGGAAACGTCTCTGTTTCTTCGTCTTGTCTTCTAGCCAGTCTACAGCATGGCACGAACCTTTTAATAGAAAACTTGTCCAAGTTATAAGATTGTATTTATCATGCATGGGTAAATAGAAAAGTTACAAACAGGAGTTAAGCAAAAGTTTGCTCTTTTCGAAGTTGTTCAAGCTTGTGTATAGGCGACCCATTTCAGGAGCGAACTTTTCATATTATATCTGATGGCTGGAAACTGTCCTATTCAAATTTCACGTATAAAACAGTTCATATTGTAAAGGCGGAGTTATTAAATGTTATTTTTGCGTTCTGGTTAATGTTTGGAAAAATAAACACTTTCTTTTCAATCATGCTATTGTCGACGAATTACCATGCATCACCTATTGTGACAAATGTCCTGTGGTTTTGGAGCACCCTGTATTTTGTATCCCATTGTCGCTACAACCTCCCCTCCCTCACCATAGCCTTTTTAGAAACGGACGTACAAAATCACTCAGTAGCCGCTCAGAAATAAAAATATATCCCGCCAAATACCTCTGAAGTGGATCAGAATTTAGTCTTTCGCGTGTGGAAATTCTAGGAATATTTCCAATCTGAAATTGAGTAAACTCGAAAGCGACTACAGGAGGAAATTGCGAGAAGTGCGCGTTTGTTCGTCATATCGGAGATATTCGTAGGATTTCATGAGGAAGAGAAAGTGGCAGGTCTAGGAAATTGCTTCAAGTACAAACCGTTCGTTACTTTTGCAAATTTTATATAAATACATTCTAATCAATTGTTGAGGGTAAAGTAATTCCTAACACAGTTTTAGTGAATTTCGTTTAATCGTTTCTCTCATATATGTTGAGTTCTTAGGTCCGTATAATTTCGCGGGGGCAAATATTCGCATCATTTTCAAATAGCTTTTATACCTATCGGCTTGCATGCAGGATACAATTTTGGTAAAATAAAAGAGTGATTACAGATAATAGTTTAATGCTTCACTACCGCCCCGTGAATTAGTCCATCACTGATAGCAAAATGAAATTACTTACTTAATTGTTAATTACGTTGATATTCTGAATTTACTTTTAGGTAATCGTTGTGTTTTTTGCCAGGCTATTTGACTCATTGCCTATCGATACCCAACCTGAAAAAAATATTGTCGACGCAATCCGATTCTTCTCAGAATCCGGTAGAGCAAGAGCACGATTCGGGTTCTTCAGATAGTCTTGCCCTTTAAATAAAATTACACACGTACCTTGACATTAACCCAATTCGTTATATTAACAACTATTGTTTCCGTTTCCGATCAATGCAAAATTATTCACTTTCAAGTTAATATTTCGTGGTGATCCCTCTTCTGACCGACTTTTTGCGTGTGCGGGAGCTCAGTATAGTAATATCGTTGTGCATAGAGTAGGATCAGATCTGTAGACACGAAAACGATGCCTCGGTCTACTTGCTTCCGACAGCTCTTGATTTTTGAGATTTTCTAAAGAAGGCTTGAAACATCTGACCCAGTGAATTCTCATGCATACGTTATTTTTTAATGTGAAACCCCAGTTTTGTTATTAAATTTTATCTTAAGTCGACTCATTTTTCAGTAAGCTCTATCATCGGGACTTTTGGCCATATTCCAGCTGAATTTTTTTATACTTGGATAAAAATACATACTTCCAATAATTTTTTGGAAATAGAAACCATTTTCGTTCAGTACTTTTTTTGATACTAGAAGCTACTAAGCAACAGAGAAGTTGATACAGAAATGATCCAAAGTTTGGCTCTAAAATTTTATTTTTATCTTTTATATTTATTATTATTTATACAAAATGTGAATGTCTTCTTTGAAGCGTTTTGGACTTCAACCTAAAAAATGCACTTCATAAATGCCTAAACATTATACAGATTGTACCATATTCAAGCTTCCATATTTTGGAACACAAGAAAAGTGACAAGGCAAAACTTAATTTTTCTACAGAGATGAAAAAATGATATTAATTGAAATAGTGATTTTGGTACACCTTGGATAGCTATAATAATATACCTACAAATTTCAATGTTAATAAAATTTTAAAACATTGTTTAAATTCTACTTATTTTGTCTTTCAATCTGCTGATCCAATATTTTATGATGATTTTCAATATCCTGATCATAACTATATTTTAAAAATGTTGAAGACAATTTCTGAAAATTGGAGATCATTTGTGTGGAAACTTCATAACCATTTGAACACAGAACACACATTAGTAATTTCGTGTTTTCTGTGTACGATATTTTTTAAATATTTTTCTTTGGTACATTCTGCTGCTTGGCTTTTTTCAAAATATGCATTTCAAATAGTAATGTGCTATGCTTAATTTTTTTCTGTTATAGTGCCTTGAACTGACTCGCATTCAGTTTTAATTAAGGAAAAATTCCCTCACTGCATAAACGCCTGTTTTTGATTAGCTACACAGTCCTCAAATACTATCGGATAATTTCAAGCAACCATTCTAAAATCTCAAAACATTGAGAGCTGCAGTAGAATATATTCGCGGCCTACGTAATATAATAATCGGTCTATGTAAGACAATTATACTGTACATATTATATTCGCTTACTTGGTCTTTAAAATTCAAATAAAGCACATTTCCTTCGGTACTATTTTATAGTAATATATAGTAGATGTAACAAGCGTAGCCTTTTTTACGTACAGCTTAGATTTAACAAAATAATCGTAGTTCTAGATGTATTTTAAGCAATAGTCGTCTAAGAGTGTTGGGTGAATTTGGGTAGTTCGAACGACAACTGAATTTATCAGGCAACTATCAGCATACTCTTTCGACTATTTGTTTTCGAATCGTGTATATAAATAGGTGTAATAATAAAAAGTGGCTTGGGCACCAAAGCTGGTGCGAGGACCAAACGTTGTTGACTGTGTTATGTAGCTGAGTCCGTTCAAACGGACAAAGGCATCCATAGTCAGCAGTCAGCACTTCGCCCCAATGAGGCAAAGCGGAATTTCTTTATCCTAAAAGATGATCGAGTCTCCCACTGAGCTGTGCTCTTTCACTTTTATAAGGCTGTCGAAGCACAATACAAAGGTGAACTAAAACAACATTGGTTCCAGTAAATCTGGAAACATAGTCGCTTTAGAACCACATCACGAAGGCAAAATCAGGGTAAGGGTCGTACCGTTTATATTGCACCACATTTAACGATTAGTAGTCGCTTTTCGGCGTAGATTTTAGAGTAACTTCTAAGAGTAAGGTTTAATCGCTTTTGCTTGCTTATGCGTTCATGCTGCCAATCAAGAAACAATACTTTACTAAAGGGACTTTGAGAGGTGTACTGCCGAATGTTAATACGTTATGCTTAGGAAACTAAACTGTGATATTTATCAATATTGATTCAATATTTTGTAAGTATTTTGCTCTTTCCGAAAATAGAAACCACTTTTAACAGCATTGAATAGTCATCGAAGTAATTGAATAGTCATCGAAGTAGGAATAGTTATTTTATCCAACTGAAATAAGACTGGGGACTTAGTGTCTTCAATCAAACTTTAAATGTCTTCAATTTGCATTCTTAACTGAACATACAATTGTAATTTATTTTTATTTTTTTTTCAATGCGTTGTTGTTTAATGTTTATTATGCGTTTCTACTTTATTCCCTAGTGTTTCGTTCATTTTCGATTTGTATGTGTTAAGTGTGTAAAGTCCAATAGCGTTTCTCGAGGATTTTTCAAAAATTACCGCATTCCGCTTGTGGATTGAAAACGTCATTAAACCGCAAGATCCTACCAACCTAATATCTTCGTGATAATTGCAAAGTATAAATACAAGATACATTTTCGCTCAAAATAGAATCCATCTTTGTGCTACTCCACTGCTTTTAATATCACCATTTTCCCAATTCTGCTGATAGGTAAGACTAAGTTGCGCAAAAAATGCTGCTGGAAGTGATCTTCAAAGACTTTCCTCATATTTCTAGTTTGATTTTGTGTATTATATAATTTATTTTTCGGTTAGACCTTAAATCGTTAACATTTTGGGTCTAAAGCCTAATTTCAATTCATATCTGTATTGGTATGTTAGTTTTCTGTGCCTAATTTTATCATCTATAAAGTTTTATCAATCCATTTTATAAATTGTTTAAGATTTTGACTGATTTCGATTCTTTGTTACATTTGTTTTCGTGAATGTTATTCTCGTTATTAAAGCTGATAAACTGAAAATTTTATTCTCTTAATGAATTAATCTATTATCCAGTTTTTATTTCTACATTCAGATTATGTGGCGATTAGTATTATCTGGTGATTTTTTGTACAAATATCTACCTTATTTGGCTAAAAGCTATTGTGAATGCTTTTGAACGAAAATGTTATGTTTATTAAATACTTTAGCTGGATGTTTGGAAAAGAAATGTGCATTGTAGATGTATTTCTAAATACAACAAAATCTAATCGTATATTCATGAAAATATTTTCTGAAGTGAATCTTCCATAAGAAATCTTTTTACAATTTGTGTAATAATTGCGCTGAAAACAGACACTCGTCGCATGTTATAGTCATTCTCGTGATAAAATCGTATTTATATAAATTAACTCATTTTCTGTTTATCCCCTAACAGTTGCTACTCATACATAAAACAACTAATTGAAAACGATAGCTGTTTTCCAACACAATCATTTATAATGTAAGTTCTTATACTGACTTAAATATGCGAATCATTTTTGTAGTATTAACATCCGGTACTAAATCGAGCAAAGAGGCCCGATTGGAATAATTACTAGTAGACATTTAGGGAAGTTGAATTTATAAATTAGGCTTAAAAATTTGGCGAAATTTGAAACGTTTGTGATATATATTTTTATACTTCTTAGCATGTAGAGTGTAAGGTAGGATTTTCAAAATTACAGCAAATTAAAAAAAAACTGGGCTCAACAACCGTGAGGATTTGTTTGGGGGAGTTCGATCCTCAACATTTGCTATTGACTGGGAAAAGTATTGTTAAGAAACTATTGAGTGATAAACATTTTTTACTTAAAATCGATATTTGGAAAATTGACAAAAAAGGAGATGAAAGAATTTTTTATACTGAATGAATTTTCAATTAGTATACCATTTTTTACTACTTAAGATAGGCGTAAAAATTTTATACCTAGTAAGTTAATGACTTGCTTTAATATGTAGGGATTATTGGATTTTTAACGGTATAGATTTCTTGCTTGGCAGGCAGGCTCTTTGCTAGTGCATGTGTGATCGACAGAACAATATAGTGCCGTAATTGTATTTGTGATTGGAAATGACAGGTTCGCGAGAATAATGTAAGTTACCGTCCTAAGTCTCATCAGAATTTTAGACAATTGCAAACTAGGTAACCTAAAGCTTTTACTACTCATTGTACAAAGCCATCGCCGATTTTTCATCCGAATCATCCACAAAATGTGATTGTCTACTACGAGTCATGGAAAACAATCATAATAATTAAGTATCCCTAGAAGGCTCACAAATTTCTAAACATTATCTACCCGACTTTGGGTAGCGAAGTTTAAAAATTTTAGGTCAGATTTAGGGTTGTACATTTTTAAATCAATTTCCGATAAATTAGTCAAATTTTTTCTCGAATAACTGCGGATCATCTGCAACAAACTGATGATAACTAACTAATTTTTTCTAATGAGAACTGCCATCCTAGCCTAAAGTTAGGTCAAAGTTACGCACAAGCACACCAAGACTGCAAGTCTCAACAGATTTACCTCCAACAACGTTGCCAACTACACTTACAACGTTGCCAAAAGTTGTCTCCCATTGCCGATAACGCCATTGTTCTGTTTGTCACCAAACATTTCCTATCAAAGTACAAATTTTTTCTTCACACCGTTTTTTGAACAGCAAAACCTATTCTCTACTATTATTATATACCTACTAAATAATCATTGATGTTGTAGTTTTCGTGAGGTCCGCAAATCTAGCGGCATATTTAAATATAATGTAGTTTTTTGATATAGTCGCTAAGATGCTCCCTCTGTGTTTTCAATTAAACATATTATTGTTGCGCGACGTTATCGGATGTATTGTGTTTTTCCTTGAGGCGTCGTGTCTAGTCAATCGATGATATTGTAAAATCAATTTACAAGATCTAAAGCTGCAGTATAAAATCGAAAACAATCATCGTTCAAAAATATTAGTTGGTTGTTTTGAAGCGGAGCGTGATTCTGAAAATAACTCCTCCATCAACGTTTTCCTGCCCAATTTATTTCCAGTATTTAAATCTCGATACCCAGAAACAGTATCAGAAACCACTCTTTTCTTGGGGTGTTAAATCGAGTGCTCTTATTTGCTCTGTTGCGACATAATCTATTAATAACTAAAGTAGAATTTTGGTTTATTTCTGCAATATTAAAAAACACCTAACTTTTTGGTAAGAGCGAAGCTTCCTCATATTGAAAGCCCGTAACAACATTTAATCGTCGATGTAAAACTTAATCATTTAAATAATCTAATCCATAAACCATTACTAGCAGTCCTTAATATAAACCGCTTGACTTTTGAATAGGACCCTCCTTGAGCACAGGGTGATGGAAAGGGAGAAAAAGAATACAATTTCACGTAAAAAAAATCACTATTTTCTTGCAGATGCACGTTCTTAAAGGCCATCGATTTGGAGTCTTGAGCACGTAATTTGGTGATTGCTTTAGTGGTGTTGGAGGAAAGCACTGTTTTAAGATAATTTTGTTTGTTATCAGTAGGGCATTAAGTGACATTATGTATCATTAAAAACTGCTAGTTTGAGTTAGTTGTGACTTGAAGTTACAAAAACTTTCGACGACTTCTTTAACACTGGTAGAATGGAGGGAATTCTCATCCAAGCATAGACTTTCTTCTTTTGCAGCTAAAACCGTGTAGGATTATTCCCCACGTTAGCCCCGAAATATGCGTAGCTATGAATTGAATAACAAATTATTTCTTGGACGCCCTTACTTGAACGCCAAATTGCAGACTGTCTCTTTTTCATCTGATGCACAATTTTATTTTTTTGCTGCAGCTTGCAATTCTGCCTGATCTTCAGTATCATCACCGTCAACACTCATTTTCGTTCGCCGTTTTTCTTCATTAAGTTGCTGCTCTCCAGCTTGATCTTCTTTCAGTAGTTCAAGCGCTTCACATGTTTTTTCCAACATTGCTTTTTCCTTTCTCGGCCCAGGAGTTATGCTTCTAAGTTATTTTTTGTATGGTAAACAGTTATTCTTGTGAACGGTGGGTTTTTTGGGCGACGGAAAAATATCTCCAAGAGGAGAGCTTAACATGAGTCTATATCAATTTTATTAATGTCCACCAACTTCGGATAACAATATCTAATAGAACGGTACTAGATGCATCTGGTATCTCAAGATCCGATTCTCATCTTTCATTCCCATTTTTTGTGTTGTCATTAGTTTGTTTGGGTTCTTCCAACTTGGAGATTTGCTCTGTCGTCATTTTGTGCTTCTCGAATATACTTAATACTCCAAAACTAAAGCGAAGTTGAACCGTCCGATCAAGTTGTCGATGTGTCGCTTGGTTAACGTAGCGACATGTGCTTGTATTGTGTAATGGAATGGTGTTTAATTTTGTCTCGGCCTTGTCTCTAAACCGGCGCTTTGTCTTCAAACCGTAGGCAGGTACGCACTTAGTTTACCTTCATTTCTTTTGAAAACACAGCTGATTTCAACGTCTTGTGACATTATTTGTTTCATCTACGTCTACTAAGAAGCTCATCCGTTTCATTTCGACATTACCTTTTAAAAGTAGCCTATATGTATGTAGTACATTACGGGCATCGTGCAGTTATGGACAAAATTTTCACATTTTGCCATTCACAAAGTGTGCAGGTCGTGCGAGCTTCGGGTACATTAAAAATATATGAGAACATCGAACAGTCCACTTAACCAAAATTTTGAGTTTTTTCACTACACATGCAAGAACAATGAGTTGCAGTCTCTAATGCCCTTTTAAAGAAGAAGCGTTGAAGGTAGTAAAAGAATAGGTTATAGTTTCGAAAAATACCACATAAAGGATTTATCTGATTACGGTGACTCAAGAACTCAACAGTTCAATCAGGGAGCAGGTCCAATGTGAAGCATTCTCCCTTGAAATGACTAACTACATTTTTGCCCTGTCTAAAGACGAACTAAATCTAATCTAATCTAATCCGGTATAATATCGCCAACAATAAACAAACTCAAATAGATGCTGAAGAGGATTTAGCGAAAGCAACAGAAATAGATATTTTTCGAAACATCATAGAATAAATCAGGATGTTTGGATTGTCTTTGGTAGAGGCAAGACAGCAAATTAGTTTTACAATATCATAGATTGCTTACCTATTTTATGACCTATTAATGGAAAGTGTTGAAAGAGAAACGTATTTATGTCTGTTTATAGCGTACTGTAGTAGGGGAGGACGGAGACGGCAGGGGCGTCTTTCCTCAACCTGCATTGCTACCCCTTGGAGCTAGTTAGGGGCCGTACTACTTTAGCAGGTTGAAGAAAGAGCCGATAATTGTTATATCGTAATGTTCTTGCTGTTATGCTCAGGATTATTGGTATGAGTGGATTCTAGTATAATGCTATGTCTGGTTTCTAGATATCGGTTCATATACTACAATTCACGAGTTTCGCAAAGTTAACAAATTCATTGGGTGATCACTGAATGAGTACAAATCGCTGCCGTCTCGTTACCATCCGAATTTATTATCATTATTATTATTCTTCTATTAAAATATATTTTCAGAGTTTACCTTAAGCAATATCATCAGAGATTTTATTATTCCGTTTTGATTTATATTTTGTTTTGTCAGTGTATAGTAGCCGATGCGGTTTAAAATGGACGAATGCTCAACTGAAAACGAAGTAATTAAAATGAAGTTTCTAGAATAATACTAATCGCACCAGGACTAACTACCTCAAAAATTTTCGTTTCGTATCTAACTTTAAAGCTCCCGGTGTGCCAGCTACTTAGTCTGTTTTAAACATCGTATACACTGAAAAAAGTTATACTTTTGAAGAAAAGAAAGCCCAAGGAATTCGCAGATACCAACAGAATATGTGGAAGGTTTTAGATGATGCTAAAACAGTACCCCTGAAACAGTTATTCTTGGTTTTCTTTTTTAAATCGTTTAGCTTTTGATTGCCAAATTTTATTTAACAGATAGGAGTTGTGTATTCTTCTGCACACTCGACGTTTAAAGCAATATGTGCCATATACTCGTGTTATACCAAAAAAAATCTGAGTAGCAACCAATACACAACTCCGACATGGTGAGAAAATATTAAACACGTATTTTACTACTAGAGTACCTATGATAAAGCTGGCGGAAAGTTATATCGGCAAAGAATCCTTCAGTGTAATTTGTAAATTATATATTTGTAACTCTAGGCTAATGTAACTTTAATCAGTTGTAAGTTATATAGGTGCGTATACTCCAACTACAAAAACGAATTAAGACACACTTGAATGGAATATTCACAGTTTTTATGGTTGGTCAGTATACGTTTTTTTTATAATAGAATATGTGGAAATGTTATAATCGTGAAGAATATCAGTATAATATAATGACACTAAATGATCGAGCTTTTATTGGCTTTTTATAATAATGTAATACGATGGGGATTACACATTTTTAAGGCATATTAAATATAACCATTGTCTATAAAATGAATTAGTTGAGTTTTATTTCACCAACGTTTATCTTGCAATAAACAGCTATTTTTAGCCAAAGTTGTCAGTTTAAAGCAAATTTTTCAATTAAGTTGATTTTGGTATCGGTTTTAAAAAATAACCATTTGGTTAGAAGTAACTGTTTAGAGCTCATTGGCTCTCATCAGCTAGATGTAGGCTGAAAAGAACAAAGGAAAACCCTATTTCCGAAAACACATGAGCGAAAACAAAATTCAGGTTTCGGGAGTGTTAATTTTCAGGTGCAGATTGGAGCTGTAAAAGGGCGACGATATAGCAAAAAGTGTGTTTTAGAAGACAGAAGGTTTGTTTATATAGGGTATCTTTCAAGGGACGAGTGGAACATTCGTGTCTATTGAGGCAAGAACGATTACACGTACAAGAAAATGCAAATCCTAATTCATTTTATGCAGGACCACGATTAGAAACGGTATTCGAAAAGATGGAGCCAGATGTTTAGCAATAGAAAATACATGTTTTGAATTGGTCATCACAATCTTCACATCTTCATATCTTTATCTCATCGATGATCTTTGGGAACACTTGGATTGGGAGATTCGCACGCACAAGAAAGGGTTATGCTTTTGACGCACTCCACACTCAATGGCTAAACATTCTTATGGATAGATAGATAGGATGGTTATTCTATGAACTATTGATGTTAAGAAAAATTTTTTATTGCCATATTTGGGTTAGTTTGGGTTAGTGTTATGATTATCATAAAATGAAGAGACACATTTGACTTTGGTCCACACCAAACATGGTAGATTGCTTGCTACTAATGCTGCTTGGTACTAATAAATCGTCCTCTATAAATACGGAGTCCTGTTTGTCTATTAGAAACTTTTACTAACACATTAACACATAATTGTATCACCTTTACTTATCAAACTTAGTGTTAGCATTTGAAACTATTTTTTTATCCTGAAAACCCAATCATTTGCTGCAAGTAGATCGAAGCGAAACAGAAAATACTGCTCCAGTGTGCTAAACCAAATCTATTTTCTGAAATCCTTAAAGATTGAAAAGATTCATATGCAGTGAAAGGCTTAAAAATTAAAGAACTGTTAAACTTATTTTGACAATTCTGCAATCTACAAAATATTATTTCGAAATTAATATGACACATTTCTGCAGGAAATTGGTAATATTTAAAAAAAATTGGATAAAAAATCAAGTAATTTTTCTTCTTATGCTGTAACATACTAAGTATTAAGTTACTTTGACTAACTACTACTTATTACTTATTACTAACTTGAAACGACAGAAAAGGGTTCGTGATATATAACACTTTTGCTGTCGAAGGGACAATTGGTTTAATTTTCTTATTAGATCGTTTCGTATTGCACCCTTTCCTATATGCTAATAGCACAGTTGACCGCTCTACCCCGTTCGAGGATCAATTTACTATTTAGCAAAACTTTTGCATTAAACCGTGTTGAAGTTAAAGAACAGTAAACAGTTTGGGTAGAATATTACCTGATAAAATAACATCAAAAACACTACTTTGAGTTTTGTTTGGTTTTGCATTTACAACCAATCATGTATAGGAAAAAAAATACCTGAAGATGTTTTATTTATATTAGTGATTGTTGTAAGGTTCCGCTTCGTATTATATTCTGATTAGGAAGTTAGTGTCTAAAATTGCACACAATCACTGATGACTTCAAAAATGAACAGACCGATCTGGATTTTATGGTACATTTCTTAATTTTTACAATAGTTTCATATAAATCGTTCTTGTTTCTTTTACATCCTAGACCCAGGTTAAATAATACTTTTGTTTATTAATAAAGTCAGCAACTCAAACTTGAGACCAATTGATAGAAATACTCGAAAAATGGAAAAGAGCAAAGGAAATACTAGTATATAGTTTGCTTTACTCTGTACAATAATTGTGACATATGAACTAAAATCAACTGATCCACCTAGCTAAATATTTGAACTTTTCATTAAGACGTTTCTTTAACTTAAAAACGTTTGCCAATAAAATCAGTTCAGTTAAATAATCAAACTTAAAACGAAAATATTTTAATATATTGTTGTAAGCTATGAATTTTGTTCAAGAAAATATAACTACAAATAACACTAAGAAAGCCATCCTTAAGATCCCAACAGAGTGCAGGAGAATTGGAAGAAAATTTGCTCAGAAAAGTTAATGGTGCTTGGCAAAATCCATCCTATTCTCAGTATGTGGAGCAGAAAAACATCTAAAATGATTGAAAACTTCCAGCACATATCAGCATTAATTTCTTTACGGAACTGCGACTGTGAGTTTGGATCCATAAACGATGAATATTTGGGAAGTTAAGAGAGTTACAAATGCTTCTTTAATGAGAGCGAAGCCACGAAAACGAGGGGACATCGCAAATGGTCAAATAAATCTGAGGAAGCTGAGGACCTGGAAATAAAGTGTGAAGATTTGAAAAAAGATCTGGACGGAAACAGCGGAAACATGTCTCAAAAGTTTTTTACTGATACGTTTTCCCTTTGAAACCTCATCAACTGTTAACCTTAAACATATTGGCAATATTGGGGTCCCCTTCTGCATAACCTTATTGTTTATTACTCAAGGGGCGGCCAACGTGATTAGAAAGATGATCTCTTAACGTCGTGGTCAGATGGGACTCTGGACCGAAGGGTCACAAATTCGAAAGGGTGATATAGGCGTGTGACAAACTCCCGGCCATTATCTAAACTACACATAACAAGCGGCCCCTTTGGGTAATCTTTAAGGCAATTTGCAATTAGGATGGGCCTATCCGTTCTCGCAAAGTGCGAATAAGATCAGAACCTTGTTGATTAAGATGCATGATAACGGGCGGCATCCAAAGGCGAGTTTAAAGGCAAAAAACGTTTAAAATATGTTTAAAAAAGGTGATTTAAAAAAGTTAATTTTAGTCGGCTTAGAACAGTTTTTCGGAGCACAACGCTTTCTTCAGATGAAAGTACTTGATGTGAATAATGGAATGAAATAATAACTAAGAACAAACACTTTTTTTCTAGTATAACTTTTTTTGAGCTTTCAGTCAGCCTTAGATTGATAGACTCCCTGTTTATGCTGTTTAATATCAATTGAAGAAACAATGCATAAAACTGACGAAAAATTAGGTTTTTCGAAACTAATATCGATTTAAAAATGAAAAATGAACATGAAAATGAATGCTAGTGATTCTAAGTGCTAAGTTCTTCAAACAAATAATCTTTTTTGAAATATCGGGAGAATGGTACGATGTATTTTAGTGAAACTCGCTGTGAATTTGTTCTTATGTAACATTCATATTTTGATGAAACTATCGAGTTGATCCGTTTTGGACAAGTGCTGAATTCTTGATTGTCGTGGTATAAAAACTACCAAAACTTTTTATTTGGTGGATGAAATCAACTCTTTTTTTGGTTGATGCACTAATCATTTATTTACAATTTTGTACTTCTTGTAAAATCTTGTAGCATTAATAGTTTTTGCGAAAAAAAATATTTCTCTTTTCTTGCCACTTAACAATGTTAGACATTAACTGCAAGCCAGACAATTTTTGTTAATCAAAGTTAGGTCAGATCGTCTTCTTTTGATCCAAAGAATATCCCAGTACCCTGTTGATCATGTGCTTACGGGACACCCTGTATAAAAATTACATGTAAAAAAATAAACCGTTTTAATAAATTATGTAAAAGTAATATTTCCTAATTCTTCCGCTTTATTAATTGCAACAATTGAAAATCTATTTATTGGGCTAGTTTGAATTAGTTTGCTATTTTTAGTATCTCGCAATATTTATAAAAAAATACATTCAACTACACTCTTAAGTTTTTCTTTAAAGAAAAAAACGACAGAAATTTACAACTACAATGTGTGTTACTAACTGTGTTACAAAGTAATGTTTAAATAGCTTTAACCATGGAAAAATATAATATTAAAATACAGTTAAATGTTTTCGCGGAATAAAAGAAGAAGTCACGTTTATGCTAATTCTGAATTTGCTCTATTTCAGAAACAAAATCCCTCAGAAATTTTTTTTACCACATTCATGGCATTTGGCAAAAACCTTCATGTGCACTAATTGATTAACTGATAGAAAGAACCTCTTGATTCAGTTTGCGAATTAAAACCACAACAGGTCAGTCAATCAAGTTCTATTAAAAAAGCTACGTATAAAGCAAAAAATTAAGAAATAATATACAGGGTTGC